TTCATTGAATTCAAATTCCACCATCTGCTGTGGCGGAGATTTGAACCCAGGTCCCCAGAACATTAGCGAGGTCTCTGGATTAACAGTCCAGCGATAATACCACTAGGCCATCGCCTGTCCTAAAATTAATTAGGTTTTGTATTGATATAACAAGGTTCTGTCAAACTTGAAACACTTGGATCATCAATTTCTTCTGCAAATGTGTTAGGTATCTTTCCTAATGCTGGTGATCCCATTGAATTAACATCTTTGTATGAGCAGGCATTTGTGTTGTTCTGAAACTAAACCCTTCTGCCCATCCTCTGGAAGTGACCTATAGTTTTACAGTTATGGCATTCTTTTGTCTGAATAGTTTTCTCCAAAGTAAAATCTTTTCAGGACTGTAACATATCTGATAAATATTCATCGATAAGTTTACCACTTCTCAATCTGATTTCAAAGTTCCATCGTCGTAGTTCTCCACTAATCTGTGCAGGTTACTAAGAAACTTATTTATGGATTCCCATGAATGCTGAACTCTTCTGTTAAACATCCAAGAATTTGTTCTCAGTTTTAAAGCAATTGTCAAAAGCTTATAGGACTCCTTCAGAAGTATCTGTAGCAAAGATTGGCAGAGGGGGAGGAAGCAGCTGCAAAGTGTGGTGGTGGGGGCAAAGGAGGAAACTAAAAGATTTTGGGGAAGAATAAGGAAGCTGCAATGTGGATGGTTGAAGAAGGAGGCTGTGAGATGGTGGGGTGAAGAAGAGACCAGTAGTTTCAGACAAGAAGAAGGAGGTTGTAAGATTGTGTGGAAGAAGGAGCAGGCAGCAAACATAGTTAGATGAAAGAAGGAGACTGATAAAGGTTGGGTGGAGAAGGATGTTGTAAAGGAGAGAGGACCTACAATAATGGAATATCCAACTGCCTGGGAGCCAGGAAAACTTGAGATCACCGAGTAACAATTTCTTTAAAAATGAACGTGAACTCTCAAGCTTAACTCTCACATTCTTAAATGAACATGAACTCTTTGTGCATTCAGGCGATTACTGCATAAGATCTGGAACTGCTATTTTTGGGGAAATGTAGTGGGTGATATTGTAATGAATAGTCTTCATTGTAAATTTAAATCTGTGATTAAGATTTGATGTGCAATAAACATGATAGTAGCTGGCTCATTAAAATGTTGCAACTTTGCATATAAGCAATAGAAGTGTATTCACATGATTCCACCAGTCTGCATAATATATGTAAAGGTGATGATTTCTGTTTGTGCAGCAATTTCTGTCAATTATTTGGAATTATAATATTATAATTGAAAACATTTGTTGCAAACTTATGCCTATTGTCTAATGCCATTGTGTCATGGAAATTAATGTTTCCATGTGAGCTGTGGCATTAAGCTTAGTGGAGAGTTTATAATTGAGGCTGTCGATGAATTCTTCTAATTCTGTCTCTGTGTGAATCCAAATACCACATATGTCAACTCAAACATAGAAGTTATTGTTACCATGTGACTATATCACTGACTAATGAGCTGGTGCGAATCAAAAAATAGTTGCTGGAAACCGAAATGTAGCCCCTGAACATTATAAAATCACCCACAAGAACATTTCCAGAAAAACCCTCAAAAAAATATTTTGACATAGGTCTAGCTTCAAAGAAGTGGAGCTGGTTACATAATGTAGGATCATACATTGTGCCAGTGCTGCCCAATGTGCCATTGTTCATAATACAAAAGATCAAGTTGCGTGCAATTGTTTGACAAAGCTATGATTGTAAGGTATATTATTCTGAAACCTAGCTTTTGATGGATTTTGTAATTAGGGGTATAAGATGGAAAAGCAAAGAGATTTTGTTGACCCTACATAAAACTGTTCAACGTGATGATGATGGTTTCCAATCCTGGGTGCCAGAGAGATCTGAAGACTTTGTAGATGGTTCAGAAGAGACCTAATATATTTACGAGAATAGCTCCAGGGACGAGGGAATACGGAGAAGCTGAGGTTGCTCTCCTAAGAGCCAAGAAGTCTGAAGGGAGTTGATGGAGATGGTTAAAATTTTGAAGGATTTAGAAAGAATAAATGGAAATTGTTTCCAATGTCTGACGGATCAATAATCACATGGTCCAGCTTTAACTTAATTTTTAAATTGACTAGCAGAAGCATAGAGGTGACAAGAAGAAAAACAGTTACACAAAAAGTGGCTAGGATTTGGAATATACTCTATCCCTGATATTGAGATGGATACAGATTCAGATTCAGGGGATTTTTAGGGTGCATATGACCCATTGTAGCCACGTTAGTTATTGAAATGGGCACCATTACCTAATGCTAATCTTCCTGCTTTGTCTCGTTTGCACACTATTTCTTCACACATAATTATCCTTTGCCTCTTGGATGCATCAATTAAACCTGCCTCCACCACAGCTCCAGGCAATGCATTCCATATCTGAACTACTGAATGCGTGAAAAAGCATTTTCTCATGTCACACTTGCTTCTTTTCCACATAACTTTAAATCTGTGCCCTCTCGTTCTTTTTTCTTTCACGAGTAGGAACAACTTCTCCCTATCTACTCTATCCAGCCTGCTTATGATTTTGTAAACTGCTATCAAATATCCTCTCAACCTTCTTTTCTCCAAGAACAGTACCAATTTCTTCAGTCTATCCTCACAAGTGAGGTTTCTCATTCCTGGAACCATTTTCATGAATCATTTCTGCATTCACATCTTACCTATCATGTGGTGCCCACAGCTGTCCATGATACTCCACTGAGCTCTAGCAAGTGTCTTGTACAAGATCAACATTACCTCCTTGCTCTTGTACTCTGTTAATAAAGCTGAGAACACTGTGTGCTTTATTAGCTGCCTTCTCCACGTGTCCTGTCACCTTCAAAGATCTGTGCATGTATACACCTATGTCCCTCTGTTCTTGCACCCCTTTTGAATTGTAACCCCTATTTTATATTGTCTTTCAATGGTTGTCTCACCAAAGTACATCACCTTACACTTCTCTGCACTGAACCTCATCTGCCACTGATTTGCACACTCAATGAAGTTGTCAGTGTCCTTTTGGCATTCCACTCTGTCCTCTGCACAATTTGCAATTGTTCTAAGTTTCATATTATCCACAAACTTTGTCATTGTCCCTTTCACACCAAGATCCAGACCATTAATACATATCAGTAAAGCAAGGTTCCCAATACTAACACCTTGGGAACTCCACTTCAAATCTTCTTCAATTCCAAAAATAAATGACTATTACTCTCTGTTTCCTAACACTTAGCTGATTTTATATTCATGTTGCTATTGTCCCTTTAATGCCATTAAATATAACTGTATTGTATGGCATTGAATCAAATGCCTTCTGGAATGCCATGTATACCCTATCAACAGTGTTGCCTTCATTGTCCCTTTCTCAAAAGGAAATTGCATAAATACAAGGAGAGAAAAAATAGAAAGATTGGTTGGGGCAAAGGCAGTGGTAAGGATGACCAGGATTCTCTTTGAAATAACTAGCACTGACTCAATGGGCTGAATGGTCTCCTTCTGTATTGCTGTATTCTGTTTTATTGGACAAAAAATGCATTGTGAAGGCATTAAACAGGAGCTACCAGGGTTCAAAGGAGAAAGCTAAGTAAAGCACAGAGAAGTTAAGCACCAGGGTATTTCAGTTTTTCTCTTTTGATTCGAGGGCAATAGATAGGCTAAGTGAGTGAGCAGAAACTTGGCATGTGGAGTATCATATGACAAACTGTATGATTGCTCTCTTTTGGGAGGAGAAACAGTACAGAATATTATTTACATGGAGACAGACTCCAGAATCCTGCAATATAGATGAATTTACTTGTCCTTAAACATGAATCACAAAAACTTAGCAAGCACATGTATCAAGTTATTACAAAGGCAAATGAAATATCAGGCCTTTATTGCAAGAGTGAGCAGAGTTTAAAAGTAGGGAAATCTTGTTAAACCTGTACAGGACATTGGGAGACTACACTTACGGTACAGTGTACAGTTTTGATCTCCTTATTTAAGGAGGGATCTGCTTGCTTTAGAAGCAATTAGAAGAGAGTTCACTTAGCTGATCATAGGGATGAAGGAATTATTTTATGGAGAAAGGTTTAGCATGTTGGCCGTGTACTCATTGCAGTTTAGAAACAGAGAACAGTCTGAGGCAGCTTGGCAGGTTAGATTTTGAAGGATGCTTTCCCTTGTCAGGGACTCTAGACTAAGGGATGTCACCCATTTCAGACTGAAATGAGATAGATAGATTTTGATGTACAATGTTGTCAAGAGCTATAGGGGCCAAGCAGGAAAATAGTAGGGCCACAAACAGATCAACTTAGATTTTATTGAGTGGCAAGAGAGGTTTGAATGTCTGAATGCCCTACAAATGTTGCTATTTCTTATGATCTTTTGATTGCTCACTCCAGAACAGATGATTGTGCCTTTTAAGTCTCCGCTCAGCTATGTTTATTCGATTGACCCACAGTCTTCACTGCCCTCCTAAACAGCCATTCATTGTAAACGGAACACACCTGTATTTTCACAATGTCGAATGTTGTGAGTCGATGTGGTTGATAAGCTGCGCATAGTACTAAACAGCTTAAAGGAGGTAGCCATATTAGGAGAATCAGTAGCAAAAACAGAAATTGCTGGAAAAGCTCAGTAGGTCTGGCAGCATCTATAGAGAGAAATCAGAGTTAATGTTTAGAGGCCAGTGACCCTTCTTCAGAAGAGCAATTTCTGTTTTTGTTTCTGATTTCCAGCATCTGCAGTCCTTTTGGTTTTTGTTAGGAGTATCAGTAGGTCTGGCAGCATTTGTGGAGAGAGAAACAGAGTAACATATTGACGCCAATATGACTTGAGCAAGAGTAATGAATAGAGAGAGAGAGAGCTGTCTCAAGGGGCTGAATGTTCTAATTCTGCTCCTAATCTATATCTTCATAAAAGGATTATTTGATTTTGCATTTAGCCTTAGGATAAGTAGCAATAAGAAAGCATTTTGTTTTTATTTACAGGTATGGGAAATGCAAACAGGAAAGAAAATGTATCAAATTGAGCATCCTCATGGACATGGTGTAGAAGTGACAGCTGGAGCAGTAGATCAGCAGGGAACACAACTTATCACTGGAGCAGCTGATGGTGAGGTTTTTTTTAACTATTTTTGATTTAGGGCATTTTTTTCATTTACTGTAAAAGAAAACTTGAACTATAACCCCTTAATTTTTCCCCTCACCTCTATTGCTGACCTTTCTGCCCTATACATCTTTTGTTTTATTCATTCACAGGACACTGGCATCGCTGGCTAGGCCAGCAATTATTGTTTGTTAGGGGCTAATCTTGCAAACCTTTTCCGATTCCAGTTAGCTCACTTGTCAAAGCTCCTTAGCATTCATCAGAACAACTATCATCCTTTTTTGATTTTCCTCAATGAATTCCCCATTCACTCATGAAGTGGCTCTTGTAATGTCCTTGGAATGACTATGATTCATACTCCCTCAGTTCAATATCTTCTGTTTTGAGGATATGTAGACAAATCTATTCATGCTTCTTCATTCCCAACACCTCCCCACAACTCCATGGCATCTTCCCATGCAATCACAGAAGGTGTAACACCTGTCTGTTTACCTCCTCCCACCTCACTATTCAAGACCTCCAGATATACCATCCAGGTGAAGCAGCAATTTGCCTGCAGTTCATTCATAGAATTTGGTCTCCTCTACATTGGAGGAGACAAAATGCGGACTGGATGACCACTTTGCAGAACACTGTCCATAAAAATAAGCCTGAGCTTCCAGTTCCCTGCCATTTCAACACACCACTGCATTCCCACGCCAACATTTCTGTCATAGGCTCGCTGCAGGACTTGGGTGAACCTCAGCGCAAGTTCAAACAACAGCATTTCATTTTTCGCTTAGGGACCCTGAAGCCTGTAGGGTTGAACATAGAGTTCAATAACTCTAAAGCCGGATTCCATCCTGCCATTTTTTTTACCCACACCACACCCTGGACCTGTCATGTCATTGCTTGCTTTCAGCACAGCCTACCCATTCTCTCTGACTTTCAGGTCTGATTATCAGCTTCTCTCCTGTCCTGGCCTACAATCAATAATCTCCTTGACTGTCTATCCCTTTCATATCTCTCTCTGTCTGTCTGTCTCTCTATCTCTCTCTGTCTCACTGGGCTCTGTCTCTACCTATGTGCTCACCTCCCCCACCTCCCCCACCCCCAACCTCATCTTCAGCATAAATACTAAGTTTTCCTAGCTGCTATCCCTCTTTTTCCCTCTTTAGAATACCTTTAACTGTGAGGTTCCTGCCCTTCTGACTGTCTGTCCTTCTTGATTTCGTTCTACCAGCTCTCTGGTCTCTTCCGGCTGAAGTAAGTCAAACATGGTTCACAGCTGGTGGTTGAACATTTAGGATGCCGATGGACACTGGGTTAACACGTGTGGCATGTTCATGTACATGCTGAGGAAATTGTTGATTCACCATCCTAGCCACCACCCCCTTTATGAGGCCTTTAAGGTCTGCTTCAAGGTTTGTACAAATCTCTGTGCCTGACATCCATGACCACAAGTAATATCTGTCCCCCTACTGGTCCTGATGAAATAGATGTGAATACACTGCAACAGTGATTGAGGTCATTCCCATGGGTGAAGGGGTGACAATGACAGCACTTTCCTTTCTAGTGTGCAGGACTGATATGATTCCACTGTCTCCTTAATCTGGGAGTCCACCTTTTGCCACTAAAAGTAGCTCTGGGCTACAGCTTTCATTTGCACCACACCAGGGTGCCCTTGGTGCACTTGTTCCAGCACCTTTCCTGTTAACAGAGGGAGAATAACAACTCTCATTCTCCATCCGTCCTTCTGGACAATTAAGGCTGTAATTCAGAGCAGTTTCTATGACAAGTCCTTTCTCTCAAGACTAAGTCCACCACAAGGCTCCAGACTGAGTCATTCCAGGTAGCGTTCAGCGTTTGACTCGTTGACACCGATAGCTTTATCTTTCTGGGAAGAGTACATAATTTTCAGGTTCCAGTTGGGAACATCCGTCATGCCATGGCCATTGACAGTATTCCTATATATGGGCCAAAAATGGAGGTTAGTGGCCTGTTGTCTGTCAGCAGCTCCAAGTGCCTGCTGTATAAAAATACTGTTTGCACATAGTTTGTGGCCCAAATCCCATCCTCGTTGCCAGTTATTGTGTTTGTGGTTCACTAGAACCAGAAATACAACACAAGGTAGACAGAGGATAAACTTGAAAAGGAAATACTTTATTTAGAGTCCTGTCAGCTCCATTGTTGGTGCTAGACTCTCCCCCTAGCTCCCATCTCCACACCTGACCTGTTCTTTTAAAGGGGCAACACACAACCAAACTACACACATAACACTCCTCCCCCTTTTTTTCCATTCTCCCCTTTTCAATATACATACATCCACCAATTGTAATAACTCTTACACAAGCCTTTGGCTAGAAAGTTGACCAATGTGCAGTTCTAAAAATCAGGTGACCCGTGACATCCATCTTAAAGATTAGCAATGTGCTTTTCAAAGTATATACTTGCTGTGGAATATTTCAAAGTTTAAACTAGAAAGATATGTAGAGTTTCTTTGTACTGTATTTTCCCTTCAAACATAAGGTCAAGAAGCTTAGAATTTTTTACTAAAATAGAGAGCATTATTTCAGTTGCTTCTGCTCAGCCCCAAAATTCCACTCTACTCCAATCTTAAGCTTACATTTCTTTGTGCCTTCAGGCTGCCTCTGATCTCTTTGGATGCATGGCATCTATATTTGTACTTCTTGACTATTCCCAACAAATTATTCATCTTGACTTCCTTATTAGAAGTTACTTATACAGTTCCTTCTTTTCTCTAGTCAACCTCGTCACTTGTTGCTCAATAAAAGCAAACTATCACCCCACATGAATCTGTCTCTGCGATGTCATTTTTCTTCATTGAAGCACTACATAAATGTTTCTTTGATATTGATCCCAAGAACTGTGGGATAACAATCTCAGTGTTCATGTTGAACTGGCAAAACCAAGTGTTTTCCCCAACGGTTAGTATTCATTTTGCACTTCATATAATATGGCTATTTTTCATTCTCCTTTGACCACAGGCTCAATTATAATTTGGGAGCTTTTTACTGGAGAGAAAGTTAAAGGCATTGCTCCAACCACAGAAAACAGTGAAGAAGATCATCGCGTCTCACAATTGTACTTTATGAATTTTGGCATCCCACAAATAATGCTTGCTTTTGGTTGGAAAAACAAGATCAAAATTCTTCAGGTTTCTAAAATTTGCCACTACATTTATTTAGTTTCTCTGTATGACATGAAGGTATAAAGATCTGTTATATGTGACATGTAAAATAATTTACTTGTAAGTATTCAGAGAGATTAGAAAAGGATGTATTGTTTTCTTTAGAACAGAGAAGGTGAAGGAAAGTTTAATAGACTGTTCAAAACAATGCTACATTTGATGGAGTGGAGAGGGAGAATCTGTTTACACTGGCTGGAGGACCAATGAACAGAGGGAATACATTTAAAGTAATTGATAAAGCTGCAAGCTAAGAATTGAGGCTTGTCTTTTACTCAGTAAGTGCTATGATCTGGAATGCAGTACCTGAAAGCATAGTGGAAGTAAATTCAGTGGTAATTTACAGATGGCTGTGCACCAGCTGGGCCACCTCTGACAGTGCTTTCGGTGCTTGCCCGTTCTCTGCTTCATTCTCGAATGTTTGAAAGGCCTTGGAGAGCTTTATGATTCTCTCAAAACTCGAGAGGAAATGTGTTATGATGCTTTCCCTGCAGTGGTAAGCATCCAATCTGACTGACCAGTGATCTGCATAAAAGCTGATATATGGTGCTTCCTACACTGACAAAAAAATTTTTCCCTTGTCTGTCAGTCTGTCATTGATAGACCTGCAGGTCAGTACCACTGATGTTATGATCCCAGCTGATGGTAATTCTGGAAACGTCAGATCCTAGAATGAAACCTGGCTTCACAGATTGTAAGTTTTATTTTGCAGTGTGGTTACTGTGGAGGTCAGTCATGGAACACCGAGGCCACTGCTGTTTATAACAATAGAGTATAAGTTTAAAACACAAAAACACCCCGAAGATACTCATGAAGCACACCCACCCCACATTCCAACTACTACCAACCCAGTCACTATTTGATTGCCTAGAGACTTGACATGGGCCTCTATCGCCACAGGAAACATCCCACTGGTAACACTTAAGTGACCATTGAATATCCATGTAAGGATCTCGGTTGTTCCACAGATCCCTCCTTCGTGGAAAATATCTGTCGAGGTGGGTAGATAATAACCACCAGCACACTACGAAGAAACTTAGTTTTGCACTCACCTTTGGGCATTAAAGTATTCAGCCTCATATGTCAATGGGTCATATCAATAAAATGAAAATATCTCCAAGTGGTGTCATTGCAGGGCAGCATGGTGGCTCAGTAGTTGGCTTCACAGTCCCAGAGACTCAGGTTCAATTCCAGCCTCAGGAGACTGTCTGTGTGGAGTTTGCCCATTCTCCCCGTGTCTGTGTGGATTTCTGCTGGGTGCTCTGGTTTCCTCCCACAGTCCAAAGATGTGCAGATTAGGTGGATTAGCCATAGGAAATGTAGAGTTATGGGGATAGGGTAGGGGGCTGGGTCTTGGTGGTCGAAGGGTCAGCTTCTTTCTGCATAGTAGGGATTCTATGACTCTTTATACAGTAAATCCTCTGTATCCGTGAAATTACGCATCATAAATTTGCATATTTGCACCGAAAAGTAAATGACAACAAAAACCAACACCTGTGGGCAAAAGTCATGAATCCGCAATATTTTAAAACATTTTCAACCTATTTTAATGTGGATAGAATATGGCAACATTTAGTTCCAACAGCTGGGACTGGATTTACACCCTCTTGTTTATTTTGATATCTACTCATCTTAAAAGCAAATTCAACATCAGAATGGCATACACTGGTGAACCTTCATTAGATAAACAAGGACAAAACCATTAATAAAATGCAGTCAGTTCCTAATAGTCTCATTTCCCCAAAGGATACACCAGATGAACCGAATCTAACCATTCTAGCAGGATTTCCAGATATAATTGCCACAGTATATACCAGCAGCAGTTTAGCCAGAAGGAAGGAATTACAACTCCTCAGTGCAGAGTCGAATGCTGGGAAGGAGGTAAATGTAATTTTGTTGATGTTTTGTCATCTTATCATATAAATATGTTTTTGGCACTGTCATATGCATTTTGGGACAACTTAAAGTGTAATGTTGGATGGGAATCATCAGTACAGAATTATAAAACATTCCCACTGTATAACTCCATATGTTACGGCTCTCAGCTTCCTACTCCATACTATTATGGCTATGAACAGAATTTTAAGTCATGTGTGGAAGTTGGTCATGCCTCACTACTGGCATTCAAAATCAGTGCTTTCTTTAATATTCATTCATAGTACTTATTGCTCATCCCTAGTTGCCCAGAGGACAGTTAAGATTCAACCACATTGCTGTTGGTCCTGAATCACATATAGGCCAGACCAGGTAAGCTTGGCAGAATTTGTTCCTGAAAAGACATTAGTGTTGGCAATAGTTACATCTTCGCCAACAGGCCACCTTTGTACTCAAGAAGTTTTCCTTTTTATAAATTGAATTCGTGTTTGACTATCTGCCTGGGTGGGATTTGAACCCAAGCCCCCAGAACTTTGGATTGGAGCTCTGGATTACTAGTCCAGTGATATCACCACCTCCTCACCTACACTGAAAATGATGTATGGGAGAACCAGACAAAATAGGTCCTCTTCTGCCAACAGAAACCAGCTGTGCTCCAAAATGCAGTGCACCAATTCAGGCAAGGATGAAGGCTGGCTGTGTTTGGATGCTGGCACTGGTCCTGTGGTATATCAGGGAGAGGAGTAGGATGGAGGAATGGGTAGCAACCTGTAATTTCAATATGGAGCAATGCAGAGGAGTACCTGCTCTTTCTAGACCTAAGTTCGTAATATTTCACTTGCTGATGGTGAGCGACTACCCCTTAACCACCCCATTCTCCTTACCCATGAACACTTTGATGGCTTGATTGTTCCTGAAGAGACTGATTGCAACTAGCACAACACATGCTACTGTTAGACATAGAGGGACACTTCAGTTCGACATAAAGTAGTGATGCAAGGCTTATTATTTGCATAGGCAATAATATTCATTTCAGCTGACACACAGTACAACTAAGGAGTAGGCTAAGAAACATGGCAACAGGAATCCTTGTGTGTTCCAGGCTCATGTGACAGGTGACGTACACTTATAGTCACTCCCCTATTTTATGCTGAAGAAATGAGCAGACTGAATTCCAATTTCACTCCCACTGTTCCATTGTTTACAATTTTTCATTCCTAGCAACAAATTTGTTAGCTATTGCATATTAATTGTACATGTTGATTAGTCTGCATGTCAGTTCATAAAATTGTAATAATTTGTTTTGCATTATTGCAGGATGGACTGATTGACACAGCATTGAGTGGCATTGATGTAATAAGCGTCAATGATGAAAATTTGTTAGCTGTTGGATGGCTTAATTTAATCATGATATGGAATTTAGAAATGGCATCCCTCTTGCAAGTGTAAGCAAAGTTTCTTAAATTGTTGAATATTCAAAGATTTACTCCAAATTTTTAAAACTGAACCTCTGGAGGTTAGTCATGTTTCATAAATTTTAAGGAGAGGCAAAGTTAATGCTGATTTAAGACAACTTTGTGAAAATGTCTTGCTAATCTGCAACCAGCTTCCACCCAGTCTATAGACAGGTTAAGATTGTTCCAAATCTTTCTGCTCCATTTGCAATTGCATGGTAACCATTGCTATGTTTGGGTCCTGAGCAGCTCACGTGATAACTTATATCTAGTACTTGCTTAACTTAAAATTGGGATCCTGTCATATAGATAGAACTCAAATGCAGTTTCCAGCTATTTTTACAGGACTACTACTAAGGGAAGGGCCTGCACAAAAAACTGGGCATTGCTGAAAGCTGATAATATTTTTGGAGCATTGCTTAAAGCAGACGACATTCATGGATAATGCGGTAAATTGGAGAATCTGTTCCAGTAGGCATAATTGATTTCTCCAGAGTTCTGTGTTTTAGTGAAGAAGTTCCATTTTGCATCTGTCCTTTGCTCCATTTACTGCAGTATGACTCTTTATCCTGTTGAAATGAAACAAATTTTAAAATATCTAGCTGATTCAAAAGTTTGTAAATTTGTGTGAGGCACTCTGAGATTTGCATGATGAAATGTGACGAGAAACAATCAATATGTGGCAGTAGGGATGGCTTGGATCAGGCAAGTGGCAGGAGGCAGGTTCAAGAAGGGTGCATAGATTTTGCTGTGGAACTGGGCAGCAGTAGTATGCTGCTTGTGCCTTTATTGAAGGTAATCGAAACTTCAGCTCAGTTAGCAGGCAACTGAATGTACTCCTGAAGTCTCGCTTCCTCCCGGGACACAGGCCAAGTGCTGGAAATAGGATTAGGCTGGTGGCTCACAGACACGATGGGCAGTGATACCTCCTGTGTTGTAAATCTTTTTCCATTTTCTAAATATTTCAAATATCTAAAGAGGAGGAATGCGTAGAGATGTGGGGAGAGGGCAGGCAAGTGGCAGTACATGAATTACACTTCGGGAGGGACAGCACTGACATGATGGGTCAAATGGCCTTCTGTGTTATAACAATTCTATGAGTTTTAGATCGGAAAAAGAAGTCTGGGATTCCTCAACATGCACACTTGGGAGACATGATTTCCCAACATGAGAAAGATTTCATTAAATGTGGTATGACCAATATTTATTTGCATTGAATTCCAGGTTTAACGAAGAACAAATTTCAGAAACACAAGCTGAAGTTAAAGAGCAGGAATTTATGCAGGATGTCACGTCATCCAAGGTTCAAATTGTCAAATTTATACCCCTCAAAATAAAAGTTAATGACACAGAAATTACTGGGTAAATATGCCTATTACTTCAAAATGCTTTTTTAATTCTTTTAGCTTATATCACATAAAATTGGTTGTACATAAATGAAAGAGTTTTTCAGTTGATTGCCAATAAACTTTCTTTTGAAGGAGTTTAACCCTTTGTTGTCCTTAATTCTTGATGCCATATGAAAAGTTTTGGTGCAAGAAGAATGAGGTGACGTTCATTTTTAGCTCCTCTCTTTCTTATAATTAAATTGTTTTATCAAGTCATTTACTCTTCCACTGAATACATGCAAAAACTATATGATGGGCATTTATTGAAAAAATTACAAGAAGCTATTGGAAAATGTCCACAAAAAAAGAAGATGATTATGCAGTCTGATTTTTCCAGAAGTTCAATTCGAATATAGCAGAGATCATCAATCATGATAGTTTATGCCCAAATGTTATAAACAGATATTGCACTGCTAAAGATGTATTGAGTTCTGTAACATCAATGCTGTTGTAGTTATAGGATGAATTTTTTAGCACCCGATGGCATGGTGGTACTCAGAGGCAAGGGAAAGGGGTGAAATTGCGACCAAGATTGTGATTGCTGTTCCCCCCGCAATGGATATTGAGTGCCAGTCAATGGATTGCCTGGCAACTGTCAGATCCAGGATTTATTCTCCAATGAAGCCAGAAGCTCACCTCAAGCCAGCTGAACACCCATGTAAAATTCAGTCCTGTGTGTTCATGGCAAGTGTCAAAGCAAACTTTGCTGTTGTTCACAGAATTCTTATGGTGCAGAAGGAAGCCAGTCAGCCCAATGTACTCATTGTACCATGTTAATTATAATGCTCTAATAATGAACTCCTCATCAGGAATTAAATCCATAGGTTAGTATATTTAAAATAACAATGTACATTACAAGTTATGAAGCAGGCATTACAGCAAGCTAACTGGTTTCCATGTGTGAAGCTTGAAATCCCACAGCGGACTAACCGCTGGGCAGAGTCAAGCACTGCATACATGCCTTAAAACACACACATAGAACATCTTCCTGCTTTCCAACAGATGATTAATTTACTCACAAGTGAGTCTCTGAGTGTCTGTGAAGCACAGATAATTTACTGATGCTCAAGATCTTGTGTGTCTGACCTAGTCTGGAGGTGCCACTGATTGCTTATAGGGATCAATGTTATTGTCTATTGCTCCTGTTTGTATTGACAAGATTTTTTTATTTGTACTGCAGTTGCTATTCCAGAATTCTATTAACTTGATGCACTGCTGCAAGCTTTCTTCCATGTTACCACTGACTGATCTCATTTCTGAAGCTATTTTGAGTTGTTCAAATCTTCGAGGCATTTTCTGCTTCATTCCTTAAGCGCTTCCTGCTTATTTTGAAGCTTCTGGTTTTACAGTTTAGATTCTTCTAATTCTATCAAAGTTTTCACCTGCTGTTGCACCTGTATACTTTTCTTATTCTTAAGCTGCTTTAATAACTATTCAGCTTCTCACACTCACTTCCTCTTTTGTTTTCGTTGAAGCCTGGACCTTTTCAATTCAGTAGTTGGTTCAGTGGAGTTTGATTGCTCTATGTCTTACTTGACTTCTTTCACCATTTGTTTCTGAAACTGATGACTCATGAGTGATCTGTAGTTCCTTATTGTGTGCACTGTGCATCTCCAGGTGTTTTTACAAATCTGTTTGTATTCTTGAGCATTGCTCTGAGCTTAGGATGATATACCTGCTCAATTTGGGCCTGATCTGTTTTAGATTTGAGTTGCTCTGTATCGTCCTGTAAGCCGCTAATATTTTCATTGGATTCATAATATAGAGTTTGTGATTCATCCTATTTCCTTTCTTTATCTTTCAGCTCATCATTCATCTTTGTGAGCTGTACAGTGGTAACCTCTAAAGCATTCATGGTGGCATGGTGGCTCAGTGGTTAGCACTGCTGCCTCACAGCACCAGGGACCTGGTTCAATTCCACCTTTGAGCATGTGGAATTTGCACATTCTCCCTGTGTCTGTGTAGGTTTCCACCGGGTGCACTGGTTTCCTCCCACAGTCCAAAGATGTGCAAGTTAGGTGGCTTGGCCACGCAAAATTACCCATAGTATTCAGTGATGTGTAGGTTAGATGTGTTCATCATGGGAAACGCAGGGATAGGGAATAGGGGATGGGTCTGGGTGAGATGCTCTTCAGAGGATTATTGTGGAATCTTTGGGCTGAATGGCCTGTTTTCACACTGTAGGGATTCTATGGAATTCATTGTCACAGAGATGCTATTCTCAAGACTGAATTATCTTGAACTTCCATGTTTCTTGCCACAGCAGAGAGCGTATAGCTCACCAATTCAGAAGAAAGTGGTCTCCTTTCATGTTTAGTTCTGCAAATGGTCTGCTGCAGTTACTGTTGTTTCTATAATTTTTGACTGATTCCATTGATTATGACCTGTGTGAGATACACCTGCAATTGCTGGTGGAGCAGTGTCTACAATCTAGAACATCTACAAGTACATTGATTGTATTTGCACCCAAGCGCTATTGGTTCTGGGTGCGGAATGGAAGAAGGACTGTATGCTTAAAGTTTATATTTGAATGTTTTATCATGACTTCCCATGTTTGTGGGTATATATTTTGTTTAGAATTTTCAGGGAGCTTATATTCGTACTTTTCTCTGTAGTCAGTCTTAGCCAGTAATGAATTTTCACTAGTTTTTTTGAGCACAGATAATTTGAAGTTTTGCAAACTCTCTAGATGATATGATGCTTTCCATGAGACTGACAGTGTGAATGAAATGTTTTCACCACTCTTTGTTTCATTGTGTCCTTTGTTGGAACTTAAAGGTACTCATTGAGCACAGTCTATTTGGGTTAGTGTTCTTTGTACCTGCATCAGCTTCTACTCTAATGCACCTCCTCTACTGATGCTCTTTTCTGATACGTGCCTTGCAAAACTGATTGAAGCTGAGTATTTCCTTGGTGCATATAGAAGACCAAACTTTCCACAATCTTGCTATGTTTGGGAGTTGTAGCATTTACCTTAACCATTGAGTTTGTACATTGTTTAACTGTAATAATATATTTACATCAAATACAAGGATTACCATGAGAAACATTTTTCTCTATAAGTCCAGGTGATCATGGCATTCATTTTGTTGCTCAGTTGCTGTTGATGTAGCATCTGCAATGATATTGTTTTTGCCTGATAAATGACTGATTGCATGACTGTAGCAATGAAATTCAATGGAACTATCTTAGATTTTCATGTTGGAATCTTCCTCTGCAGATTTGTTGACTATCTAGATCTCAAGGTTTTTATAAAAACCAAAAGAACTGCGGTTGCTGTAAATCAGAAACAAAAACAAAGTTGCTGGAAAAGCTCAGCAGGTCTGGCAGCATCTGTGAAGGAAAAAACAGAATTAACATTTTGGGTCCGGTG